ATATGAGATTTTCAATGTATTTATCTTATTTTTTCATTAGTTAATCAATATTTTAGAACTAACAGGATGACTTAATGATTTAATCTCATTGCAAATGAAAAAATACTAAGATATAAGATGAAAATAAGTTAGAAAAAATCAAATAACTGAAAATAATCATATTTACAAACTATAATACACAAAATATTATTAAAGACAGAAAATATAAAAGGACCGAAAAAGCAGAAAACAAAAACATATTTTAATTTTCTTAAACATTGAAAAAGATATAGTCTCCAAATATATGTTGAAAATTATAGATATGTAATATCATTAGAAAGGTAAAATATTGATTATAATACACTATTTTTTTAATAAATCTATTTTCTAAGGATAAATGCTAAAAAATTGAATTTTATATCAAATCAGGTACACAGATATAATTTTCTGTTAAGAAACTAATAAACCAAGACTTAAGAGTACTCCACTGAGCAAAGCTATAATCAATATTTAATTTTAATTGGTAACAATTTGTTACAAACAGGATAATAAATTACCTAAAAAACTAACTGAAATCAAAATTGACCACAAAAGCTTATATATTCTCACTCATGTCATATCATTATTATCATAGTATATGACTATATGCTATGAACCCACTGTGATCGTCCAATTTGGTTAGTTACATTATGGAATCTGCGATTTCCTTGTTAGAGTTCTTTTGTAGACACCAACACAATCTAGATCTTCTAAGAAAAGGTACATAATATAGTTCGTTTAATAAAGGGTAAAGTTCTTAAGAAAAGATTAATAAAGTAAGAAGTATGTTTTAATAGAGTAATATTTTATTACATAATCTAGTTCTTATACATTGTAAGAAACATTGTCATATATATGATAAACATTTCCAGAAGTATGTTTTAATTGAGTAAACACTGTCATATAGCTAACTGAAATCCAAATTGAGCACTAAAGCTTTTTATTTATACAAGTTTTTATATATATACATATACATATTCATGTCATAACACAGTATATGACTATATCCCCTAATCTGACAAGTTCTTGTAGCACTCATCACAGAGCTTGCACGAATCAGAATTTCCACTGGTTTTGAAGAAACTTGTATCTTTACAAATTCTATAGAAATCTCATTCTCCACAAACTCAATATGTGTATCAATTCAATTGCACCCACACTTTGCATGCCTCTGATTCTCAAAAAATCTTATTAGAACTCGAACTCGATATGATTAACTAATAGGATATTATCGTCATAGATAGGATAGATTTCTCTACAAATTCTCACTATTTTCGTATACGTAGTAGACTGAATCACCATAAAAAACCACATGACGTATTATTAAATATTAAAAAAAAAGTTTCTTTCAATTCTTGTTACACATAGCTCTTGAGATCTCTAAACGGATTAATAAGACATTGATTCTTTAAGCTTCATATTTTTCAAAAGGAGTATGCGTATTTGTGGAGCTTTCCCTCTATCTCATCAGGCTTTAGACCAACAACTCTGTCTACTTCTTGACCTCTCTTCATGAATACAACCGTAGGCAAAGCATGAAGGTTGTACTCCTTCCACACGCTCTGTATTACAATCAAATAACTTTTTTTCGTTATATTCTTTAGACTTTGAGAATGAGATGAGAAAAAGGGATTGATTAAGTAAAACCTTTAGCAAATCGACATCAATCTTCACGAACTCAACATCAGTGTACTTTGCCGCTAATTCTTCAAGCTTCGGCTCAAGTGATTGACATGGTCCACACCATTTGGCCGTGAACTCGATCACCAGCTATATATGTGAACATGAAAATAGGATATGCGTTATAATAAACTCAAACTAAACCAAATAAAATGGTAAGTTTACTGGTTCAAGAGGTAGAAATGTGTTGATCTTATCTAGAGAGCCTCAGTTCGAACTCCAACATTATAGAACAAGAAGTCTCATGAAAAAGTGGTTATCATTTAGATTAGTTAGAAAGCGCATTAAGTAATCGTTACCAGCTTGTTTGTGCCTTTTAGAGAATTGAACCGAGATTTCCACTGATTCTTTTTCTTCATTTCCACAATAAAGGGACTAACTTTGTAAGGTGAAATCTCGGACTCGAAGTCAGGTGTATGTGGCTTCCTGGAACGGAGGCCGTTCAGCAAAAATTTCTGTGTTGGTGAAGAAGTATTAGCACCCATTGTCTCACTCTATCTCTATTCAGAAAGATACAAATACTTTTAAGTGGAATTGTTCTCTTACTTTGAGCCTAATATGAGAGCAAGAGTTGGCTTTTATAACCTCCGATATTCTTATTGTGGGCCTTGTCACTTGTGGCCGTAAAAGGTCACCAGATTTCACATTACAGTAAAACCTATATAAATTAGTAATGTTGGGACTTTAAAATTTTATTAATTTATAAAGATGTTAATTTAGAAAACTTTCTTTATATAGATTTTTTTTATTTTAAAATAAATTTATTCTAAAATAAATTAAATATTTGATTTTACTATATAATTATTAATAATTATTTTTAAAATTTTGACATTTATATCAATTATATTATATTATTTGTGTATATATTATATATTGCATGGAATCTAAATGTGGTTTAAGACATAGTATTACCAAATATCATCAAAAATATAATAAGTATTAAGAAAATATAAAGAGAATTTATTATGAATATAAAACAAACAATATAATGATATGTTCTTACTTATATAAAATGTGTATACATATAATTATTAGTTTATAATTTTAATGGGACCATATATTTACATAGAGTTTTCTAAAAACATATTATTTTATTATTTTATCGATTTGTGTCAAATTTTGAACTGGCCCAAGTTAGAACCGACAAAATTTATTAATTTAACAAAATTTATTAATTTATAGAAATTATTAATTTATCGAATATTAATTTATAGAGGTTCTACTGTACAACTTTTAATTCTTATGTGTTCATTACCATTCCAGGAAGAAAACAGTTTTTTTTTTTTTTTTTTTTGCAAATTTACTTTAGGATATTATTAACTACTACTTTAAGATCAAGTAGTCTGAAATGAGTTCTTGAAGACCCCAACTTAGTAATTCGAATTCTATAGACGCTTGCTAATTGGGTTAATCCATTTATATTGTTGTTCACTTTATATTATTAATCGCATGTACTAAAAATACATTCAATAAATTGGAAATTTACGATATCTTGAAAAATGTGTGGTTACCATATTAAATAAATAAATAAATAGATTAGGGTTTTTAAGTCTAGGAAAATAAATATGTCCATCTAAACAGAGAAACTTAAATGCCGTAAAGAAAAAAAACTGAGAAGATTCCACAGCTCAAGTGTTAGCTAATATTTTATTTTGTGCTTAAAAAAGTTTTATATTTGGGTGTAAAAAAGTTTTATTTTTGTTCTTTAGTGTGGAATATATGTGGGATCCAAAACGGAATTCAGTGAAGATGAAATGAATGGTGGGATATATGTGGCACAGAGGGAGACATAATATAACCATAATAGATTCTTTGCTCAATTTAAACATGTTTTGTATTTGACATTCTAAAACTCAAACAAACACGAAATATATTTTGTTTAATTTAAACATGTTTTGAATTTCATATTCTCGAACTCTAACGGTATTGGTTTGTGGAGTTCAACAACATCGATATCTCATGCCAATATGTTGGAGTCAGAGCGGGTCTTCACAGTTATACGGTGAGAAACAATATATAAATAGTAGCCAATACATATTAGCTGATTCTAATTTTTATTAAAGTAATTCCAAAAGACCTCAAATCATCATGTTTATACCAACCATAAACATGATGATTATACCAACCATGCTATCAAGAATTGCTTTACCGTGCATAATTACTTGGCGTCTGGAAGCAGGCCGGTTCTGATTGGAGTTTTCCAACATCAACAAATATAAAAGTAAATTATGTTAAATTCTTGACCATATAAATTTATTATTTAAAAATAATATAACGTAAACATAAAGGCAATAAATTTTATTTTTAATTAGTAACATCAGCAGTGACAAAAAAAAAATTAGTAACATCATAAATGATTTAAATCATTTATGAGATTTAAAATGAGATTAAATCGCTAAGTTATCCTGTTATTTTTAAATAGTATGAGATCTTAAATCATTTATTTTATTTTATTTCTGTATTAGGTAATCTTTATTTTTAAAATAACAGGATAACTTAACGATTTAATCTCATTTCAAATGAAAAATACCAGAATATAAGATGAAAATAAGAAAAATAAGTTAGAAAAAATTCAATTAACCGAAAAGAATAAATATATTATTTAGTATATAATTAAAGATATAAAATATAAAAGAACCAAAAAATCAGAAAACAAAAACAAAACATATATAATTTTTGAAAAACATTTAAAAGCAAGATCTACTTTATAAAATATGTTAAAAAAGTCTAGACATATAATATCCTTAAAAAGTTAAAATATTGATTTTTAATACACTATATTTGAATAAATCTATTTCTAAGCATAAATGGTAAAAAAATATTGAATTTTATATCAAATTACATAGATATATTTTTCGGTTACGAAACCAACAAACCAAAAATTTAAGTCTCCACTGAGCAAATCAGATCTATAATTAATTTTGAACACCAAAGCTTAACAATTTGATACAAACCGGAAAATAAATTACCTAAGAAACTAACTGAAATCCAAATTGAATACCGAAGCTTATATATTCATTCATGTGATATCATGGTATATAACTATATGCTATGATTCCACATGTGATCGTCCAATTTGGTTAGTTACATGATGGTAAATGTGATTTCCTTGTTAGAGTTCTTTTGTAGACACCAAGTAGTTCTTCTAAGAAATATAGTTCGTTTAAAAAAGGGTAAATTTTAAAGAAAATATTAATAAAGTAAAAAGTTATTTAAGAAGGGTAAAATTTTATTATACAATCTAGTTCTTACACATCGTAAGAAACATAGTATATGATAAAGACTGAAACAACATCGATCATCTACTTGTTGCTTTTGGAACTCATCTCAACATCAGAAAAACTCTTCTCCTCCTTGAAATCTCCCATCTGTGAACCGACCTTGTACCTGTATCCCCTAGCACAATACCAAAAGTAAACCATATTAACCACACCCAAAACCGCGATCAGATAGTAGAAGTAATCCAATTTTCCCGCGTTGAGATTCTTGTTGAGCCAATCAGGACGGTCATGACCACCAGAGAATTTATGAACAGTCGTTACTACAAAACTGCTAAGATAGCTGGATCCGGCAAAGGACAAAGAGAAGAGAGCGTTAGCAATGCTTCTCATGTGTTCCGGAAACTGACTGTTGAAGAACTCAATCTGTCCTATTATATTGAATGCTTCACATAGTCCCATCAGAATTAGCTGCGGCGAGAGCCAAAACACGGACATCGGAGTCATACCGGTCGGATCACCGGCCTTGATGGAGCGTGTGCGTCTCACACGCTCCACAAGGCCAGCAACGATCATGGAAAGGATGGCGAAAACGATCCCTGTCCCTATACGTTGGAGGAGTGTGATACCGGATTTATGGCCGGTGATGCGGCGGAGTAAGGGGACTAGAACCCGGTCGTATAAGGGAAGAAAGATGCCGATGGTGAGGAGAGAAATGACGGAAAGAGAACCGGCTGGAACCTCGAATTTTGGACCCATGTGTCGGTCCATTTTCAAAGCTTGAGAGACTGTGAACGTTCCTTGTTGTGACATTGCCGTGAGTGATATTATTCCGGCCGACCAAACAGGAATTATACGGATCAAACACTTTACTTCCTCTACTTCTTGAATGCTGCATAGCCGCCACTTGTTCGCTGGAACCCCCTCTGGTGTTAGGTCCCCTTCTTGAATCACAGCTGCTTTGTCAAGAAACCTAATTTTATGCAGTTCCCATTAATTATAGGTGAAAATACACAACGTGAAAAATATTAAAATTCCACGTGAAATCCATTTTATTTTAGAAAAAAACATATAGACAGATGACCAAATATCTTTACGTTTTTTTTTTGCAGAACAAATTATAAAATTTAGTTATCTACTGCATATATTCATTTGAAAGACGATGTGATCATAAGCACGTCAAAACTGTAAATAATTTCCACGTGAAATCCATGTAATTTTGGAAATTAAAACGAATATTATATGATATAATTTTTTTTACGTTTTTTTTTTGCAAAAAAAACAAATGCAAGATTTAATTATTCAGTGCATATATTCATTTGAAAGAACCACGTAATCATACGTCAAAATGTAAACACATAAAATACCTGAATTGGTTACTATGTTGTAACTTGTGTAGCACGTTGTCTTTAACGGGAGGGTCATAGTATGTCACAGTGCCGTCATTTTCCGCCGAGAGCTTCATCTTTCGCTTCTTACGAGCTGCCACGATAACTTGAGCGATACTGGAGAAAATACTTCCTTCAGGTTTAACATAGATGTAAAGCCTCATTCCAGCGAAAAACATAACCAAGGCACAAGCCATGAGTCCAGTAGGGATACTAAAGCCAATGATCCAGCTGACTTGGTCCTGAATATACACAACCACGGTCTGTGTAATAAGCATAACCACAGTGAAAGTCAGGTAATACCAGTTGAAGAAACTAGCCACTCCTTTAACCCCTTCCTCAGTTCGTTGGTCAAACTGGTCAACTCCAAAAGGGATGCTACATGGTCTTATTCCTCCCGTCCCTATGGACAGGAAACCGAGACCTAAGAACAAAGTTCCGAACTGGAGCTTGTTTGGACCGCTGCAATCGACTGGATCTTTACTATTGCATGTTGCTGGATGGAGTTGAGGAAGCGATGCTGTGAGTGTCAGTGTCACTAGTCCCTGCAGATTTAAAATTGCTGATTAAACATTAATAAACAACTCTTCACTCATTTTTGAAACTGATCTTCATTAATTATGCTGATGAATATATTGAATTTGATATGATTGTTAGTTACTTTCGTAAAGGCAAACAATAATGTGGGACAGATTGAAGTTTTGCGATCGAACACAAACAAGCAAACAATTAGTTAACCATAGTCTTAATAAGGTTTGACTTCATATGGTTAAAAGCAATATTAGGAAAGCGATATTGTCGGACAGATATCGAAGTATGACATCAAATACAAACAAAACGTTTTTATTAAGTTAATTAGATGAACAAAAAAAAATTAATTAAGAGTAGACATATATAATTGGCTTTGACCTCACTTGATAAAATGGTGAGATTTCTTTGATTAGGTACGCGTTAGCGACAAAATGATCACGACGTAGAACCTAATATCATATCTTTTGTATAACCTTAATATAATAATTTGAGTAGTTAATTGTCACAATTTAGGTTCCTTAACTACGAAACAATGCAAAAATAAAAGAAAATATAGGAAAATGAACTTTTGTATTCGATCCTAATTCTAGAATTATTAGCGAAAATGACTTAAGAAAAGAAACTATCTAAGGTAGGTTACGTCATTGTGATTGACCAAATCTACACATCTTTACTCTTAGTTACCTAATCATTTGGAAATTCAATTATTGGCCACTTTCATCGTCAAATCGACCACTAGTGCATTTTCTTCCTTTGGGACACCTTTCTCTTTAAAAAACGAACATAATTCGCTCTAATTAAATTTTCGAACCTAAACTGATCAAAAATTTGAATCTATTCAATATTTTGGTATTTAAATAATCGAAATTGAATCCGATCTAAATCGAAATATTTGAGATATCCGAATATATTATAATCAGATTTATATACTTAAATAAACTAGTTATTTTTGGATTTAATATCCAAAATTTATAAGATATTTTATATAAAAACAACAACTAAATTGTTTTATCTAAAAACTACGTTTTCTGTGAGATAAATACAGATTTCTTATGAAACTCTTTTGGGTTTTTGTTTATGTGATTTACATTATAGACCGACCTTATCTATCTTGATAACGTGGTCCCTCTATGATTTCATGCGTTTTCGTATGATACAAGAGCAATAATTAGGAGCAAAATACCATACTTTTTTTTTTTTTAAATTACTCTACATGGGCATTATATATTATAAGGTTTTTTATGTATTATAGTTCTGGTTAAATATTTTCAAGGTATCTAAAGTTTGTCCTAACGTGGTTACCTTATGTGCCAAGTACCATCTATCTTCACCACACAAGATCATATATATAGAGTAAATATAATCATTTTTTCTAAATGTGATAAATTTAACTTTCTACATAGAGTTAGTATGAGTTGATGAAATTACTATACTACTATTACTAACTAATAATACTCATACGTCGTGTGTATTTGTAGGCACATTAAATAAGAACTTTAGTTAGATCAAGGAAATGAATACGTACGAGGAGGGTGGCGAATGACGCGAAAGCGATGGTCTTGAAACGTCCGACGTAAGCGTCTGAGATAAAAGCGCCAACGAGAGGTGTGAGATTGGTGAAACCAAACCAAATGTTGATGACATTTGCAGCGGTGACTTGTTCCAAATGGAACACTCTGGTTAGATACACCATGAAGTTTGACAACAACCCAATCGTACCCAGTCTCTCGAGCGTTTCATTTCCTGTTTCAACCCATATATATTATTATACTTCTGTTTTCAAATTGGCAGAAAATAATTAACAAATATTTTGCGTTTTCAAAATATGGAAAATGAAAGAAATATTCATAAAAAGTTACAGTTTTTTTTTTCAAAAACTTAATGTTATAGTTTTCCTACCGTTTCGATTATACAGTGGTCAGATGGACGAGTGTCAAACATGATGGACGAGTGTCAAACATGAAGGACGATTGTCAAACATGTAATAAATGTAATATGAGATAGTTCTTAGGAGGAAAAAACATTAATACAAAATTAATCGAACATCACGGTTGAAAAGATTATACAACTCTCAATTCTTTCAATATTTTTTTCTTTTAAGAACAACAGTTGCGAGTTATGTAACTTTGCATTTTATGTGTATTATATGCAAGGACTTAGGCAAAACGTGATCTTGAAACGGCTAAATATATATGTCAATTAAGGGTGTGTATATACACTATAGTTCACCCAACAGCTCATAGTATCCAATAATTAAAATTAAGGAGAGGTTAAGGATTAGGTTAACTAAAAAATTAACCACGTCCACGAACCAAAAAAAAGAGAGGGATATATGTACCTAAAATGAACGTGACGGCTCTCCAGCCTCCAGGCTTTTTCTCAACCTTCTCAGCATCCGAAAAAGAATCCGGCGAGCTTTTTCGATTGGTCGAATCAACAGCATCCGTCTTCGGCTGCGGTGGTGAAGAACCGTCCCTTCTATCCATCAAAACTATCTCTAAGATGTATAACTATAGTCAAAATACTCCCACTTCGATTTAAAGTGCGAAATTAATGTTGGGAGATTTGATTTTCACTTTTTGAGTATATGTAAACTAATAAAGGTAGTCACATTAAGTGATTGAAAAATGTAGACCTGTACGCTTTCTCTCTGGTAGAAGCCTTTTGGGGATTAATGTGGAAGTGTGTGTACATGTGTATATATAAGAGAGTGAGGATATACAGATAATATGGTGGGTGTGGGTGATAATATAATAACACTATTTATTTTGTTATTTTTATTTAAAATTATTATAGAAGAAAATCTATTCCAGGGATATGTTTATTATAAATATAATGAATTTCTATTAGAATAGAAATAGATAAAGTATTAGATTTCTTTTTTAAATAAATATTTTACAAGTATTTATTAATTTTTTTTACAAATAGTAAAAATATATCGGAGATTTTGTTTCTTACATCGTACGTACTAGACTACTAGTATTGGTCAACGAATTGTGAACCTTCGATATCTTTTTTTTTTTTTTTTAACCTTCGATATCTTTTATTGACTAAAATGAAAATCTTCCAGATGAGAGGAAGATTTATCTGGATTCCGGAGGGTTCATCCTAGTCAAAAAATAAGAACCTTCTCTATTAATGTTTAAAGTAGATAATATACATTAGAATACAAGGATTAGAGATGGACACAGTAAATACTAACAAATTTTGTAATTTATTTCATATGTTATGGATATCTGATTTTCAATTTGTTTTTTCAGAAAAATATGGATATCTGAAACTAAAATATATGGATATATAATGATATTTACAAATGCTTATGGATGCAAATACTCTAGATGAACCAATAAAATGTGTTCTTAAATCATTTTACATGATATATATATAGAAAAAAATTTAAATAAATAGTGAACTACATGTCTTATAAATTTGAAACTTATTTAAGATAATAATAAAACAAAACTTAAGAAATATATTATAGCCTGAGAAAAAATATTTTGTTTTATTGATTTAATAATTTTGTAAGTAATAATGTGATTAGAATTTATTATAGATCATATGCTGGAATAATAAATATATAAACTTATTTATTTTACACTCTAAATTTAATCAAGACATATTAGGTATTTACATAACTACCAAAGTGGATCGGATATCCACTTTTTAAAATTTGAGTATTTTTATTTGCTTCGGTTTTTCATGGCTATTGATTTCTTTAGTTTTTTTCAAAAGTTTATGGAATATCTGAATTTCTTAGACAATCAAAATAAATATCAAATCGAATTTAATAGATAAATGTTCAGCTTTAGTAAAAATAGTAATATGCACACACGAGTTAAATTTGATGGGTATTGTCTGTGGATGTTTTCTTTTCTCACAAATTTTATGTATGTTGTCGATCAAATATGGTATGATATATGGGTTCAAATATGACATTTTATTCTTACCTGAAATTTATATGATATAAAATATATAATACTATTAAGGGATTGTTTTTATTCAGTTCCTAATAAACTTCTGATTTGACATCATGTTTTCCATTAATATTTTTTGGAATATAAGATATTGGAAAATGGTCGACAAATCAATATATATAATTTTAGTGATAAAACTCCTGATTTTTTTTAATCGAAAAAACCCTTCTACTAATATTTTATCGTAGGGATTTTTGTGATATAACCTCTCAAAATTTGAATTACAAAAAACCTCAATTAATTTTAACGTTTTAATTCTTCAACTTGTAAACCATTAATGTTTATCACCCTCCGTCTATAATTCGATAATGGAAAGTGACAAAACTTACCAGTTTGTAAGTTGAGAAGCTAAAATATTAAAAACTTAACTGAGGAATTCTGTTCCGATTAGAAAATATTTGAGGGTTTCAGCATCTGGACGTTGGACTTGGAGACGTCTTATGCAGCTTTGGCCTATGGCGAGACCTCTTATTTCCTGCAAACTGGGATTGGGAGGATTTGTTTATTCTGGAGCGATGATTGGAATAATCTAGGTCCATCTATTGATATTGCTAGAGATCTTGGTTTGATTGTTTTTGGAGTCCCTTTGACAGCAACAATTGAAGATGTATGCATCATCCTTTGTCACTGGCTCCTTCAGCGAGGGAGACACTGTTGGTTGTCCTGCTGCAACAATGTCTGCTTCCAGCTCCTCCTTCCTTATCTCATGAATCCCAGGACTTATTCCTTTGGAGAAATGGTCTCGTCTACACACCAGGTAAATTTCAAACTCAAAATGTGGAAATTTGTTCATCCTTGTTCTATTGTTTGGCTAATTGTAGAAGTTTTTGTTCTTATTGACAAAATGTTAGAATTGATATCCCAAAAGTTAGAAAAAAAAGGGTATTTGCATACCCATTTGCACATTGCAGTCCTATTATTTTCTATTTTGTACATTAGATACACAGATCACATCATATTAATTTCATTTGAAACTGATATGCTCTAAAAAATTAAGGGCTACTGTATTACATTTTGTTATTTACGTAGGTCTTTTCATGCTGATATTTATCAAAAGAGCTGGCAAGAGACATGCGACTTTGAAGATAATTGTTTTTCATCTTCTTTTTTGACTAACCGATATGTTTGCAAACTGTTTAACAATGCTAGTTGTTATACTTTTCAATTTTCACTCACAATGTCTTTGTTAGTTTTATGATTTGTGTAGCATTTAAATTTAAATTATTAGTAATTGATGAGCGAAACTAAAGAGCTGTGAAAAAAAAATTGAGCAAGAAACACGTGATTTGCAGTGAAGATTAAAAAATACATAGGATAGGGTTGATGTAACTGCCCACCAAGTTTTGAATACTCCACCATCTCCGGTCTATGTCGAAACCCCAATTATTGAAGTAATGATTTTCGCTTTTAGTTTATGAATCTTCATGAATAGATTTCGAAATACCCTTCCAAAGTCAAATTTCACATGAAAAGAAATAGGAAAATTCAGTTTCAAAAAAAAAAAAAAGAAATAGGAAAATTATACTGGCTAATATAGTACTATTGATGCATAATAAGAGGGAACAATTTATAATAAAATCAGAAATTAAAAGAAAATTAGGTGGTATAACCATGTTATAATAATTTAATAATACATGCATTCCTAATTACAAGCCTATATTGATAATATTATTTCTTTTTTTTTTCATTTGAAAATTCTTACGTATTATAACATTTTTGAACACTACATTCATTATTAATAAAGAAAACTTAGAAATCACTCAATATTTTATTTCCAATTATATAAATTTAATAATTTTATTTGGCTAATATATAGTTGTGGATTATATTTTAAATTATAACTTTTTATTTCAAGATATTTTTTAGGATAACAACACATTATATATATATATAGGAATTATATTTTTATTTTAGAAGAAATTGTAAATTTAGAATAATTCTTATTATTATGAATTTTAATCACTTATCTAATAAAATAAATTTAAATTCATTTTTATATTTTAGGTTAAATTATGTATTTTGTTCATTAAAGATATAACTGATATTAACCACCTTAGCTTTTAACAATAGTATAGATAGATAGATAAGAAAATATGATGATAATTTAATATTTTAGAAAATGGAAAAGATAAACATTCATTTTTCTTTTCTTTTTTTCTTAAAAATTCATCTTTCATTGAATATTACAAAGAGAAACACACACACACACACACACACACACACACACACACACACACACACACACACACACATATATATATATATATATATATATATATATATATCAGCATATATTAAAAATAGATTTTACAAAAATCAAGAGGTATAAAATAAGGAAAGTTTCCAAAATAAGATATTCCCTCTATTTCATAAGGAATGTCATTTTTGCTTATTAATTTTATTTCAAAATAAATGTCATTCTACATTCTCAATACAGTTTTTTTTTTATATTAAATTTCTTTCTTACCCTTATAAACAACCAATAGTTGTTTAGATATATATTTTTCATTTAAACAACTGTATAATAAATAAGAGTACATTAATATGTTTTATTGACATTTTAATCTGTGTGAAATATGACATTTATTCTGAAACAGAGTGAATATAAATTTACGAACAAGAGAGAATTATCAAAAATATTAATATTTTAGGATAAAAATCGGAATTGACTATTAGTCCCTCCTCAGACACAACTAACCCACAGTTTGAGATGTTTGATTTGATCTATCATATCTAATTAATTATATGAAAACCATGTCTATATATAGTATATACAGAAAACGTAGATGATGTGCGCTTATCAATCTCTTGATTACTTCCTCTTGTAAAATTAGAAAGCTCAATATTTGACACTTCACCTTGAAGCGTAGTTCTGCTATATATTGTAAACTCATGTGATTTAATAATCTTTCAGTCAAGAAATGTTAATCGATGATCATATATATAATTCTATTATCAACTTTCGAATATATATATATACACGTCCACTGTCTACATTTCCAACAAGAAAACCTACGAACTTGAGAGAAAGTACAAAACTATTCAACACACTTTGAAAGAGTATATACTGATCAAAAAGAGGTCGCTAGATCTCCTACTTTCTCACCTTAAACGCAGAGGTATCTCGAACCATGCGATTATCTGACATAGGTGAAGGAGACATAACTGCGGTTGGAGTAGATATCTTCGTTGTAGAAGTCTCAAGATGTTGTAAAGTAGACAAGACATCAGACATCTCCGGTCTCAGCTTAGCTTCTATGTTAAGACACTGCAATGCGATGTTTGCTGCTGCGCAAGCCCCTTTGTGAGGGTACTGTCCTCCAAGCTTCGTGTCCATTATCCTAAACACTTTTCTTCTGTCTACCAAATAAGGTAAAGCCCAATCTACTAGATTCTGCTCCACACCAACTTTCGATTTATCTACCGTGGGACGTCCCGAGAGTAGTTCGAGCAACATCACTCCAAAGCTATAGACATCACTCTTGGCGGTTAATCGGCCGGTTGCTATGTATTCAGGAGCTGCATAGCCATGAGTGCCCATCACTTGAGTTGACACATGTGTTCTATCTCCTGTTGGTCCTGCCTTTGCCAATCCAAAATCAGATAGCTTTGCATTGAACTCCTGCATGTACAAATTAATTTCAACAAATGGAAAAGTATTTCTAAAATAATTTAACAAAATTACAATGTTAAAGAAATCGCTAGAAGCTAATAAATTCCCCGGAAAACTTCTTTTGAAGTAATATAATAAATTTGGCAAAAAAAAAAAAGGTACTATAATAAACTTGATATTAAAAAGGATTTAATAGGTGCATGGTGTACCGCATCAAGAAGAATATTAGAGGCCTTGAAGTCTCGGTATATGACTTTAGCTTCATGTAGAAAAGCAAGCCCTCTCGCTGCACTGATGGCAACTTTCATCCTTGTCTTCCACGGAACTGGATCTGCATTTCCTTCAGACACAAGCAAGAAGAAAAATCATAATTTAAATATAAACATAACTTGAATGTAACAACTTCAGACACAACCATCGATGAAGCTACTCACTTCTAAACAGATGATTCTCTAGGCTTCCTTTGGGCATGTACTCGTAAACCAAAAGTCGTTTCTCTCCCTCTATACAGTATCCAATTAGCTTCACAAGATTCATATGATGAAGCCTTCCAAGATAATGAACCTCATTCTGAAAATCCACCAACACTTTGATTATACTTTTATTTGAATTTGATTTTGTTTAATAAACTTACCAACCACTCTTTGTGGCCTTGAAACCCTTCTGATTTAAGTTTCTTGACTGCAACAACCATACCGGACCCTGGTTTGGAAGGTGACAACGAGTGTTCACCAATCCAACCTTTATAAACATAACCAAAACCGCCTTCACCTATAAGATTGTTGGGTTTGAAGTTACTAGTTGCGGTTTTGAGCTCGGTGAATGCAAAGGCCTTTAGTGTTGGAGAAGGTAAGAGCTCTCCTTCACTTCTTGGTGTCTGAACTGACCATGAACTAGTGAAGCTTCTGTTGCTATAAGAGGGTATTATGAGGCTTGGGAGTCGAGATGGCTGACTAGGTTTAGGGGAAATTCTCGATGACCCTATTGTCACCAAGATCAAAAATTTCAGTTAGATGAAACTTTAGTTGGGAACTAAATGAAAATATTATAAGCTTTCATGAAATTAAAGAAACCTAGGATCAAATACCCATCTTAGTTTTTCATTATACTAACTCGAAGTTTGAGAGAGATAGAAGAAAGAAAAAGAAGTGTGGTTCTGTTACAAACCTGCGAAAGAACTTTCTCTGTTATCTACTCTTGCAGGAGAATCCAAGCAATTACCCATTAGAGAGATCACTAAGACAACACACTAATAATTCGTATAAGAAAATTGAAATCGAGGTTGCTTGTCGGATTAAGCAATAAGATTTGAATTTTTATTGATGTCTGAAGGAGAGAAGAAACAGAGAAAATTACAACAAGAAATAGAAGATGATAAAAATAAAGATAAAAGACAAGCAAAGGATTTGTGTGATGAAAAGTCTTCGTCTGTCATTGTCGTTGTCGTTGGTCAACACCAAAGACGTGTGCACCAACCACCAGTGGCGGAGCCAGAAATATTTTTGACCGGGGTCATAATATATAAATTTCATATTTGAATTAGATATATATATATATATTATTATAACAAATTTTTATTTTACAAATTAATGGAATTATATGAAAAGTTTTACATAAATTAGTGGTGTCAAATATTAAATTTTAACTAAATGTTACAATATTATTTAAAAAAATATACAATAAAATTTTTTTTACCCAATTGTACTGGGGTCAAGTGACCCCATATGTCACTCTTTACCTCCGCCCCTGCCAACCACAACTAGTTTGGTCTGTCGCACTTTCTAATATTCATAATCCCATGGAAATTACTCGTTATGTAAATAGTGGTTTATTCTTTTGATTTTTTGAGCTTTGAGCTTTAAATTTTATAATACATTTTCAACAAATTTAATTTTCATTTTCTAGTGTGCCGCTTTTTAAAACCCAAAGTAAGTTCTACGTATGATGTGCATGCAATTGGGGGAGTGATTATTAAAGTATATAAAGAGAAGAAAACATGAAGAGATTGAATATTTCTTTAGGAATTATGGGTTGAAGTCAATCTACCATCACCAAAACGTATTATTCCTTTTCGTCCAAGCAAAACTTGCAATTTTTTATCCAAAACTTTGACATCGTGCATCTTTCACGTCCAGACGTCATTTAATCGATTACTTTTCCTCTGTCTTGCATACGCTCACCCTATGATACTAGGCTTTCGATATACACTTTGACCCAATAGCACCTTTTCAGTGTTACATAACTTACATTTATAAGCCCATACTGAAGCCTCAACTGTTTCTGTTGTTTTCTACAAAAACATTGAACCCACAAATCATAACTCCTATATGTCTTACGAAATATTCATCTAAAGTGTCATCAAAGTAAAAAAGATAACTACATTAAATAATTGAAAATGTTAAAATAAATGAAACTTATTTATTAAAATGCTATAAACCATAATATTTATTTTGACAGTATGTAAGAAAATTAAAAAGAAATGATAATATGTGATGACATGTATAAGAATTAGTATAATTCATATTTAATTAGATATTATATTAATTTTCATAACATTTTCAAGTTTAAGACAAATAAAAATTATATTCACCAAAATGTTTAAAAAAATGTTCTCTGCATTCGAAGTTAGAAGCACTTGGTTGCACAATGAAAATTATATTACATCATTCAACCTTTCAGAATTTTGGATTGGATTTCAAATATTTGATCTCTATAATTGAGAAACTTTGATATGATTAAAATTTTCAACAGGATCAAAAGAGATATCAGCGTTACAAAAAAAAAATTCATTTTTTCAAGATATGCTATATACCTCGGATTCATAATGCAATTCATAATTCATTCGTTGGAACTGTAAGATTGTTTTATAAGGATTTTATTTATGTTGGTGTTCTGTTCCGATCTAATTTTTCCATGTTACTTATTTGAATGATAGAATAGTTTTTTATGCTAAAAAATATTAAAACATGTGGCAACGTGAAATGGCAACGAAAGATCGTTTGCTAACACTTAAACAAAGTGTAAAACATCCCTTTTTTTAACTACCACTATCTTTCATGTCATAGCCGGTCACATGCATCCCATCTCTCTTATTCCCTTTCCTTAGAGCATGCACATTGGTGTTTCTCTCCAATGAATCCTTAGAATTTTTTTATTAATTTTTTGTACTTTTTGAATAGTTAAGGATCTTAATCCTTTTTAACGTCCAATGGTGTTCTCCAATCCGGAATCCTTAGGAATAAAATAATAATTATTTTTGTAAAACTAAAAATTGAAATTTTATTTATTATATGATAAAATATGAAAATACAACAATTTTATAGAGAGAAACGTACTCCTTTACGAGAATGAGAACAAAACTGTCAACACCACTCGAGAACAATGGTATGTCTAAAAGAATCTATCAGGACAAAACTCTGTTTTCAACAACTGAAGAGAGCAAGAGAGAGAGCTTTGTTTCATGGATCAGAGTAAGTAGTCTGATACAGTTTTAAACCGAAGAAAGACAGAGAACAAAGTAAATAAAATCAGTTGGTCTAGTGTGAGGCAAGTACATCACTTGACACTCTGTGTTGCTCCTTTTCACCCTGCAAAATATGAATATTTTCAACATAATACAGAAAGACATAACATTTTATTCAAACTTTGCAAGACTTAACCGATATTTGAGGAGGAAATGATGAAGAAAAATTGAAATCTCGAGTTTAGCGAGATCATTTCCTGGACACACATGGCCTCCAGCACCAAAAGGAAGGAAGGCACCAGCTTTTGGTATAAACCCCTTCTGAAAAAATCACAACAATACAACGTTAGTTTTTCCTTGCTTTGGATCGAACAACAACACAAGATGAGAAAACTAACTTACATCCCATCTACAAGGATCAAATTTTTCTTGGATCCGGCTAGACTTCAGGGTCCATGTGGACATCCCTAAACCATCCTCTTACTATCTGTTGACAATTGCAATAGACTAATATAAGACACCAAAACCATACCTGCGACAAAAACTCCATTTGTCTGGTTTCTTTCAGAGTAAGACCCTTTTGTCCAAACCACACATGTCCCTTGTTCAACCCAAAGCGACTGAACAGCAAGTCCAACGAAAGAAAGAAGCATCATCTCCATGGCATTTCTCAAGATCAGTCTCCATCTTTGCTAGCTCTTCACCATCTGAGAAAACTATATTCAGATCGAAGATGATTGGCCGAGAAAGAACTACAAAGAGTAACAACACATGTTAAAAGAACCCCCTGAGAAGAATAATACCTAAACATTCCTTTCCTCCCCCATTGATCTTCACTTCCACAGCTTCACTAACTTGTCATGACTAGCTGATGCAACCAAACCAGTCGCAGTTGAAACAGCCAATGACGCAATTAGCCCTTCGTGAGCAGGCAATGCCATCGTCTTGTTCTCTGACATGTTCCATAGTTCTAAAGACTGCAACATACATACAAGTTTCACTAACTTTAGCAGAACAGAACCAGACTTATTCTTCGGACCAAAATGACATCAAAATTTACCTGGTAACAACCAATTACGAGTAGCGAAGGGTAAGTAGGATGGAAAACACAAGACTGGAATTTATTGCCATTGCAGCTTAGCTCATGAACACATTCTCCTTCACTACCTGTCCCAAGCGTCCAAACTTTCACCATATCTTCACTAACCGTTGCCAAGAAGTCACCAGAAGGATCCCAGCAAACCGAGTTTATCGGATTAGCATGGCCCTGTACAGAGGAAATAGAGTCTAAAACAAGTATCTATGTCACAATATAGAATAAGTAAATTTTTAAACACTAAACCTGCAAAGAGTGTCTACAAGCTTGTGTCTCAACATCTAATACAGATACAACATTTGCTGATGAAGCTGCGAGATACTTTCCAACACGTGGTTGGAACCTTATCTGAGTGCTACCACCCTGTGAAAGAAACACAAAACTAAGTAAAAGCAACTCGAAATTGGCATTGAAGAGACAAAAAGAGATCTAACCTTGTACACTCTTGTGCAACTTCCATTGTTGATGCTCCAGTACCTTATTTTTCCATCATTGTCACATGAACATATGAGATCATCCTTGTTGGGATGGAAGTCAAGTGACGTAACCATAGAAGAATGTCCAATGAAATTACGAAGAGAGTAACCTTTCTGCAAAGTAGATTTGAAATAAACAAACACTCGTGCAGAGATTAAGGTGTATGAAGACGACGACGAGTATCATGTATCAACGAAGCTGTGTCTTCTCTTCTTCCTTCTCTTAGAATTTTTGACAGAGACAAAGTAATCAAATGAACACTTACCAAAACTGAAAACAAGATCCGTGAAGAGTAACAAGGAGGAAAACGACCAAGCCATGTCGGTATCAAAGAGGGGTTTGAGAAACCTTAATCGATTGAAAACCCCCAATCGAAACCATCCCCAAATCGATTCCAAAACAACATAATCGAACCCTAAATCGCGAGGAACATCATGCAAGATCCCCAAATTGAAACCCTAATCGATTACATCTATAAATCAACAACGGAAAGAGAGGATTTACCATAATCGAAATCGCTTCTACAATCGCCAGAGCTTTTTTTTGTTTAACTTAGTCGTAAATGGTTTTTTTTTTTTCTGACAAAACCCAACCCGTAACAATCACGAACCAACTAAAACGTGACACGTGGCTAAGGATCAACGAAAATAAATCCTTATTCACGTATTGATCCTTAGTGATTTTGGGTTAGATAATATTAAAAAAAATGCAAAATCCAATGGACCAGTGGTTAAGGATTCCCACGTTCCTACCGTTGCACATGGTCTTATAAGTTATATCACTATATTTTTATTTTCGCTAATATGAACATTTTAGAGAAAGAAAATAGTATGTACACTTTCTGCAGAACATAGACATTCTAACAATTTTTACTCAGCTTAATGCATAACATAAATTCTTTTTTTGTAAAATGCTAGATATTATATTATATTAATTATTTGATAGAAATACAAAGACAACTTGTAACGAAGTTAAAGAAAAAAAAAAAACTTCTAACAAACACCCAAGAAAACTAATTCTTAAAGCAATAGGATGGAGAAAACGAAGCAGGTGAGGCCCTAATTATAAGGAGCATGAGAAGAACATAAAGACATATAATCGTCATGAGCTACCAAGAAATTGGGCCACCCTCAAAAACCTAGAAACACGGCTATTGCAGTTTTTACGAAATCAAACCACTTGAACCTGGAAGTAGAACTCAAGCTCGAAGCCTCAAACCATTTGTGCACAGAGTTTTATATGTTTTCCATTGTAGTATATGTATCAACAAATAGAAAATATATTAGCTTTTTAAAAAGGTCACAAACAAATGTAATTAATACCCAATTGGCAATTTCATGAATACATCTCTAAGAACGTTGATCTTTGAGGAATGTTATATGCTTAGACGTTCCATCACATATAAGATTTTTTTTCTAATAAGTATTTGGAAAATATATATGTGTATATATGACAGTATAAACGAAATGATTGATCGTTCGTTGTATATAATTTAACGAAAAATACATACATCGTGACCTTATATACTTTTAATTGATTTTCCTCTGACCATCTTTTACCGGATGTGAGTAGTTAATAATGAACTTGAAGCAATAAGCACATCTCCATATAGCCAGCTACTCTTTGCGGGCAATTCTTGTTTTGTTATAGTCGCACTATAATTATATATTTCATTCGATTTCATATTAGTTGTCGTTGTATACTGTTCAATCATGAGTATCTGGATCCTCGAATCTGGTTTAGATCGGATCTTGTCAGGTCCATATCTTCCGGGTCCTAGGTATTTCTATTTTTTTGGGTCAGTTTTGGATCGGGTCTGTTGGTTCGGATATATTGTCGGGTCGGTTCGGGTATTTAAGACCCAAAAAAGATCTGAAGGACCCAAACTAGATCCAAAAACACCTGAAAACTTTAAAAATGCCCGAAGAACCGCAAAAAATATCTGAAAGTTTATCCAAAATCAAGCTCAATGCAAAAAATATTCGGAATTTTACCCCGATACCCAAATTATATTTTTTGAAAATCTAAAATTTTACCTAAAGCCTAATATTATACCCGAAAATCCAAATCTGAAACTTTAAAAATTACTTGAATTATCAAAAATATAATCAATCACCTAAATATACCTAATATATACAATAATTTGTGGGTACTTCGGGTACCCGATCAGGTTTCGAGTAGGACCCGGACCCGAACCGAGACCCGCGGGTCCAAACAAAAAATATCCAACATATACTTTAGCATGGACCCGAACCCGGACATGAACTTGTATTTTTGGGTCGGTTCTTGTTCGGGTCTTCGGATCTGGATAAAATGCCCATGCCTAATTTTGTTGACGAATTTGTAAATTTACAAATATATAATTTTTTGTATATATTTGAAGCTCATTTCGTTGTACATAAATGTTAAAATTATTGAGTTTTTAATGGGCGATTTTTAGTTGGACGTTTAATGAGAAATAAAAGGAAGGAGATCGATGTTTTATAATTTTCTTAAACATATCAGGGGAAAAACCCAAAAAAAGATTATGCTTTAATAGTATAGATTTTATGTTTTTAATGCATATATTTGTCAAATTTTCTAGTTTTATCTCTATTTTCTTACTTCATTAATTATCAAATAAAAATGGACTAATGTATTAAATAGAGATAAAAACATAAAATTTAATTGTTTTTAATATGTGACATATAAATTGAAATGGAAGAAGTATAAAATAGTTGAAAATTCATGTTGGCATCTGATACTGTCATCAAAATGCCAAAATAATAAATAAATTATATTATCAGAAGAGATTACAACAGAAATGAGGAATTAATATCCAGCAAATCTGCAAACGATTAGATTAAGGACATAATATCCAACCTATTACAAGCTTGATCTCTCTCTCTCTCTCACCACCACTGTCACATGATGGACATACATGCTAATTAAGTTAATTCGTGAGCTAAAAATAGAAGAATTAAAAATGGTGGGGCTAGAAATTTAAATTGGGGCATAATTAAGGGAGGTATTAAAACCATCTTAAAACCATAAGATTTTAGTTTTAATTTTTTTATCTAAAAAGTTCACCAAAAATTTCTAAAATCATTTGAAAATTTCACAACTTAAAAATATTTTTAATATCAGTAAAATTTATTGTATTTTATGAAATGTTAAAGCTCAATAACAGTAGATTTTAAATGAATTTTTGAAATTTATCATTGAATAACAGTTGATTTGTCATTTTAATACAAATCATTTAAAATTTTCAACTGAATACACCCTCACCTAATAATTCATAGAAAATTGCATTACTTTGTAAGAAATCAAAGGGTGGATTTTCACCCTCCCTCCATAAGGTGCATCTGAAATTCATAGAAAATGTTATTACTCTGAAAAAAATCGATGGGTGCACTTCCACCTTGTCTCAATAAGGCGCTTATTCTTTTTGCAAAAGAAATAAGGTGCATTTGCCCTGCTTCTACATAACATGTCTGATGTCTCAGAGTTATTTTGCTTCAGTTTGATCCTTGATTATAAGAAAACGCTCTGAACTTCTAGATACATAACCACTAAAGATGTACAAATAGTGTCATGTCGATATAGTGACGTTTCTGAACGTAACTGAATGGATTTGACCCCTGAGTTTTCTATCGACACAAGACCCAGCTCTCCTGTCTATATGAAGTCTTGATTCTGATCATTAACGTGAATAGAATTATTAAATATTTGAACACATTAGAGCATAATCATCATTGGTTGATATAGCTAATGGAATACCTCTTAATTATAATAGTGATAATTAATCATAAATAAATAAGTTAAACATAATAAATGAAAATATACTAGTAATAACATGTCAAGTGGCCAATTTCTAAAGAATCGTCTCTTTAGGAATGATCGATTCTTCTTCTTTTTCTTCTTTTGTGTTTCTCTCTCTTTATTTTGATTTATTTATCACTATTTTCAGTTAGAAATCCAATGAAATATTCATTGTTGTGGATACTCTTACAAAGAAAACTTTATTAGGAAAGGGAAAACTAACAATCGATCGTTTTATTAAGTTTAATTAGTTAGAGCCTGCATATATTTCTCAATGAAGTTTCTCAAAATATACTTTAATACTATGCAATTCTTCCGTGCATGTGATCAAAATAATATATTGTAATAATTTTATTAACATTTATTTCAATTTTAAATGATTTTTGATTTATATGTATGATTTCTTTAAATATAATTGTGTTATTTTCATAGACATATAATTTTAGATATATGATACATTGTTGGTTTAGTTGTTATATGGGTATATTGGCTTGCGTTTACTTCTCCAAAGATAGATCAAAAATTTTATTATTTTTGTCATTTGCATATAGTTTGGTTACTGCCTTAGATTTGTTTAAGATTATGTATAACTTGATATATGTTTGAAAAATCAAATAATAATAAACTAAAGTGTTGATCTATTCAGAATACTTTAATAAATATAACTCATAATCTTATTAAATATCCATATCTAGAAATTTTATAAAAGAAATAAATTATAACAATTGGTTAATATTTCATTTTAATTTATTAAAAAAAATTATATCATTTTTTAATTTATATATATGTGGAAAATAAAACAATATGGTATGTTCTATTTAGACATTATATTTTGGGTGTATAAATTTAGCTTAGTCCATTTACTCCTTTGTGGGTATATTTAGCATATAACATTTGTATAATATATATTGAAAATTTTTTAAATAATATTAAATTTAAGAATTGGTTTGAGTATTATTCTTTTGTATTGGGTTGTAAAAATATACAGAAAAAAAATTGAAAAAAAATAAACACATTAAGAAATATAATAAAATGGTAATGTATAATATTTTAGTTCATTAAAAGTATCTTGAGTATGTTATTTTAAAAGTTCTTCAGTAATTATTTGATGAAAATAGTCTTGTAGAAAAAAATAGTTTCTTTTCTATATGTTATGTTGCTTAAAAGTTTACAAAAAATATTATTTGATATTTTAAAAATAAATATCTATTTTCTGATTTTTTTGGAGAAATCAAGTTATATTATTATAATATTAATTTTTTTAATTTTAGAATAATATATATTATATTCGTATATTAAAATTAAAAAATATTTTTATTCAAAATAAATAAATATCTCACACTAGTAATTACAGATGGTTTTAGTTTATTAAATATATGTGTTTATGTTGTTTAAATTATTTTTTTGTAATCATATGAGAAAATAGATGGATGCAAAGAAATAAATTAATTTTTAAAAGGGAAACAATTTTTTATATATATATTATTTCTGAATTATCACTTTTTATGAAATCACACTGTAATATAACACAAATTTTTGGTTTAAATTTTAGAAATGTTTTCTTTTATATTATATACATTATTTTAAAATATGTAAATAAAAATAATTAAAACTATATCTAGCTGGCACAAATTATTAAGGTGAAATATTAACATGATTACGATATATATGAAATTGATTACTTTAATAATACTATAAAAATCAGAAAAATATTAACTATTGAAAGGATAACAAATATAAATTTTATGCATATTCTAGAGTCTCATGAGAAACATGTTCTAACTTCCTTTCTACTTTTTTCTCTTTCTCTTTTTCATTTTTGGGAGAGATCTAATGAGATTTTTTTTTTGTCTGATGAATTATGTTATTACAAAATATGAGAAAAATCACAAAGATGATATTATAATTGACAATTATATATGAGGATCTAAGTCTGACTTCATCACCCTGAGACGTCTATAAAATCCATAGACGTCTATAAAATCCATTTCTGACGAAAACTTCTTGCGTTATACTAAAGATCTCTTAATTTTTTTTCTCCTATTTTCTGCATAATTTGCTTTTTCCAAATATTGAAATTCAGATTTTTTTGGTGAATAAACTACATAGCCTGAGACTCGAACCTAAGGCCTAGATGTAGAAACCTTTTAAACCATGACCACTAGACCATGGTGCTTCCACATCTAATAAGATATTTACAACTGTGCATGCTCTCAGTTCTCATCTCACTTTCATGATATAGGTTTACAGTCTTTTGAACAAGTTATTAAAGAATTGCTAATATATAAGAAGCTTTTTATATTGAAACTTTTAAAATTTTACATTATATGTACGTGATGTTTAAGTATTGAAATTGTATTACTATAAAAATATCCTATAAAGCAAAGAGTTTTAAAATGCAAAAGTTTATATATCATAAGATATTTATAGTAGGTATCGTACTCAAAGAATAATGTACGTCACTATTCTTTGATATAGGGTTAATCAAAGAGCCCCATGCAGACAAGGATGTCCACTTATAATAGTACAATTTATATATAAGTATATATTGCTTGGAAGAGATGAGAGTGAGCAAAACATTTAAGTTTAGTTGAAGCATCCAAGTTTACAAAGGGTCCATTAACCAAAGAAGCAAAGCAAAGTGAACCAATAAAAAGGTTAGCTAAAAGAACGTGAACCTTATAGAAACGAAGAGGATATTTCTATCGCACCGAATAATTTCGTTTTATTTTTATTTTAAAATTCTTATAGGTATATTGGAGATTAGCTAGAGTATCCAAACTTATCATATAAGATGAAAGTTCAACTGTAGACACTTAAAAATAAAAAGAGTTATAGTATCATCTGCAAGGTATTTTTTGCAAGAGTTATAGTTCATAATTTCTTTGCAGCATGGACTAGAACATCTATCAGTCTTTTCTCTTTAGCCGGTATCGAACTTGTGATTTTTAAGGGGTTGAAGTTTCCTCTAAATTAAATCGAATGTATTCTTAAATGGATCATTCAAATTCGAATTGACAAGTTATATTAATGATGTGATTTTTAAAAAAAAAATCAAACCTAATGAAAGTGACAAAGTCACATTATATTTCAAACTGATATATTATTCTAATTGCCTTGTTCAAAATTCTAGAGTGAGTTGCACATCTCATTTATCTTGAAGCCACTACTTTTTAGAGAGAAGGGAACCAGCGACGTCCTGAAATTATGTATGGACCTACGACTCCTCGTATTTATGGCGACAATTTTTTTTTTTTGCGTCAGTGTCGCTAAAAGCAGTGTTGGCATCAGTATCTCCACATCTTTAGGTCCCGAAAAAAAATATTAACTATTTTTTGTTTTGTCGCTTGCGTCTAAATTTTGAAGAAGCTTATCTCTTACATCATGTCTAGTTACAAAAATAAAGATAGGTAGCTTAATTGATTTATTTGAAACATATTTATTCAGTGGAATTTTAAACTCTTATCATAAAAGAGAATCGATTTCTGTAAGAGATTTGGAGAAGTTCAAAAAGTGTCGGCCATTTGGCTGTGGAAAAGGAAAAGGGGTTAAAAGAGGAAGAGTCGATTAAAAAGGGGAATGACAACTTTCCAACGCCAAATTGTTTGCTTGCTTGCTTGCTTTCTTCCAACTCTATTTGTCCGTTTCTTCTATCTCCATTGGAATCTGCGTGTCTATGCCTCTTGATGTTTCCCTCTTATTTTACAATGTCTTCTAATTAATTGACTATATATAACCTGAGGAGGACATATGATAATGATATTCAGATGATGATATATCAGATCCAAATATTAAATATTAAGTCAGCTCCAACGCTGATATTTCATATAATATTTAAGACATGTTGTTTGTTTCGATTCGATCCAAAAATTTAGATATTAATATAACTTCAAATCAATTAACAAAATGTGATATTCATAATAAACAAAATAAATTACAAATATTATTTATTAGAAAATCGGATATCTGACCGGTATATTTATAAATATGTAATTTATTAATTGTATGTACAAACCATTATATCTATACATATTTTATGATAGAGTTTGGTTAATTTTTATTTTAAGTTGTTTTCAAATTTTTATTTTGGATTATTATATATCCAGTTTCACTTTTATGTTCAGTCAAATGTTAACATTTGAGTTTTCTTATTAGACTTGTTAATATTGATTTTTCTTTTCTTTATGATTTATAATAAAGATAGTAATTTGTTAGTATGCTATTATTATTTTAAATTTTAAATTGTTATTAATAAGGTTTGTTTATCTAATTTTAAAGTTATATTATTGTTATATTTAAATATAATTATCAAATCGAATAATCTATGAATATTTAAAAAACTCCTAGATATTCAAATTTTCAGATATTTAAAAATTTCTGGATCGAATGAGATCATAAATAAAAATACACGTTTGGGACGGAATGGATACTGAAAATATTGATATTCACTATGTGCTCATACCTAATTTAAGGTTTGATACAGTCTCTATACGATGTGAATGTTTTTAGGGCAACATTCATGAAAAATTTAACATGTCTCTCAGAAAACCAAGATATTCATATTTTGATTATCTAATTATATTTTATTTTATAAAAATAAATTAATAAACACAACACATGAAGATGGTGTTGCATGAGTCTCTTATAACTTTAAGACCCTTAAATACTCCTCTTTTTAAGAAAATTTCATTGGTTTATTCATATTGATAATTGACAAAAACACTCTTTTTCTTTCTTTTTAATTGTTTTTAATATTTTAGTCTTGAAAAAATTTCTTAGAAACTTTCAAATGAAGATGGTCTTAAAACTTCTATTTACAAGATATTTTAAAAGAAAAGAAGCACGTGATGATATTATAATTGTAAGAAAAGGAAAATAAAGAAAAAATAGGGTTATGAAATTAATGGTCTGCTGCACCCTGCATCCTAAATATCGTACGTCTTCTGTAAGGTCTTGTGATTAACTCCTTTAGATTTTGTCCCATCATTTTTTTGGGTTTTTAACCCTGTCGACAGAATCATGACATATGCAGAATTTAATTTCATGGATTTCAAAAATCTTAATAATTTGCTACATTGAGATTGTCCTTTCATTGTGTATTTTTCCCACTTCTGAATATGCAGAATTTATTTCATGGATTTTAAGAATCGTAATAATTTCCTCAATATATAATTTATTTTTTGGTCAAAAGACTCAAAACAATTTCCTCCATATATATTCTCCTGAAAATGGTTGTGCCATGATGATATATATACTTTTACAACTTTTACCCATCTTTTTACATTTCATTACTCAAAACAAAAAATAAAAAAAAAATCTCGGGGGCGTCTGGTTGCAAATTTCGAAGTGAACTAATGATAGATTCTTATACTGAAACATGCATGCATGGGTTGTTCTTTATGATCAAAATTAAAAACAAAAACAATAGTAGTATATATACTTTTTTAAAAACAGGTCGACCAATTTCAATTGTACTGTTGCTGATCAAGCCATGGCCAAAAACCAGAATGGTCATCCATTGCACATAACATGTTACTGATACTGTTCTCTTCTTTAACCATACACTGTCCTGATGACGAGTTTTGTAAGAATTGCATCCTCGTTGTGGTGGCTGGCGACGGCGGGAAGAAGTGTCGACCAACAGTTTGCGTTGGCGGTGGGTGGCCAGCGGTTATTGTGCTTTCTAGTGATGGAGGCGCCGTCGAGATATCAAGTCTGTGATTATCGGAGCTATTGTCGCTTCTGTTACTGCAAGACCCTTCTGTTTCTTTGTTCAGATTTATAGATTTGGTCTGTTCTCTATTTTTTAATTCCATTATCTGTATTTAACAAAACCCATCAAGATTCAAAAGACAAAACAGAGTACTGTATAATGTGATAAGAATTAGAAAGCTATTGTTGCACACAAGAGGGAAGAAAAGAAGAGATATATAGTGATGTTTGAAAAGCCATTAATCATGTCCAGTTTATTAACCCTACTTGAAAGCAACTCCTAATCCCAATAATTATTAACAGAATATAAACTTTAAATCGTTAAATTTTTCAGAAAATATATATTTTACAATTAACAAGAAAGCATAATAGAAGGTCAATCTCTAAACACTAACGAAAACTGAGCAAAAAAAAAAAAACACTAACGAAATTATGAGATTATCCAACCATATAAGCTTTGATCTTTCACAATTCTAGAAAGAAAAGAAACTAAAATATTTAGCTTTCAGAAACAAAAGAAACTAAAATATGAAAAACTAAAGTACTAAATCTTTTAACCCTAATTAAATTAAATACATAAAACAACTGAATTTTATTCTAATCTTTAATAAAATTAAAGAAAAATTATGAGATTATTTACCTCAGTTTGGAGTTTCTGATTGTGAGTTTGAAGAATATCGTTTTCAGCTCTAAGGGCATCGAATTGTCGTTTAAGAGTATCATAATCTTTCTCGAGCTGCTTTGTTTTCCCGCGAGCTCTTCTGTTCTGAAACCAAATCGCGATCTGTCTAGGCTGTAAACCTAAGGCACGAGCCAGTTGCATTTTCCTCTCTGGTTCAAGTTTGCTTCCAAGCTCGAAAGTCTTCTCCAGTGCTTTCACTTGCTCCATGTTCAATCTTCTCTTCTTTTCTCCCATCTGAGACCCATCATCTGAATAATCCTCTTCTAATGTTTGCTTACCTATAAACGAAGCAAATCCTGAAACAGAGCAAACACAGAGTTTACAAAACAGAGGAAATCATGAGTAACTGTATGTTTGATATTGTATATACCATGGAGATCTTGAGGCATGGAGCAAGAGGGAAGGAGTGGTGCAAAAGATGGAGATTGTTTAGGATGATCGTTTTCGTAAGAGGTTTGGATCATGAAATTTGAAGGGAAGAAAGACATTTCATTATTACAAGACATTATCTCCTGTTTTTGAAACAGAAGACAAGATACTGTTTGCTTAAGCTTTGCTCAAAACTCTTTGTACGAGTCCGAGAATCAAATGGAAAAAGAGAAGAGCAACAAAAGATTGTGGAGTGAATAGGCTTAGACTATGCCACTTATGGTATTTGTGTTCTTCTTTTTTGGTTAGATTTATATAGGAAGGCTGATAGAGAGAGGGCCTTTAAGCTGAAGAGGGATACAGAAATGAAAATTAACTAGAACAAATGGAATAAACTTAATTTAAATTAAACCAAAAAACATAAGTTTAGTTGCCTCGAGCTATGCCAGAGAATCAACAAGAGGTAAGACTAAATGAGGTTAGATTAATCGTATGTTTACATTATTATCGAAATCTATACAGTAAACGTAAGATCAAGAAATAAAATAGTGGCTTATATTTTTGTTTATCTTTAATGATTACAATGTTTTGGATTCGTAAACTCGTACATCTCTTAAAACGAAAGTTCAAACCGAGTAATTTAATATTTGGAAAACAGACTAATTCATCATTAGTATTCATGTTTTTAACTGGTAGACTGATACTCAACGAGACTTGAACATACAACATCTAAAAGCAAAATACCGCATAATCTGTAATTTTAACTAGCAAACTAATTTATCATTTTGTTTCATGTTCTTTTTGTTATTATATAAATCTGCATAATACATGTTGACAAAAAAAATGTAACATGAATACTAGAGATTTTTTTGCATATTTAAGGAGAATTGTGACAGGATTACAGCTTGCGTAGAATGGGGAAAAGATGAAATAAAGAGAATAAAAAGGTGAGAAAAGAAAGGACTCTTCTTTTCCCCTTGGGAGGGACATGCAGAGGTGTTCTCTCTCATTCATCACACTTGTCCTTTGATCTTTATCTAATTTCTCTTTCTCATATTAGATCTGTCCATTTTCATGAATCAAATGAGATGGGTCCAGTGATCATCTTAAATCGTAACTATCAAAGTTGTCCATCTCTCACTCTAACTCCAAATCAAGATCTAATTACCATATAGTTTGTTACTACTTATTGATTCCCTAGTTCAAAATAAATCAATCAATATTGGTAAGGGAGGTGGCTAGTGAACGGGTCCACAGTTGATCCTATTTCCTATGTATATACACATGCTAGTACTTCAATATACCTAGACGGCATGGCGGGTTACCTAAACTCATATTAGAGATTCCAAACCAAAGCCTTAACCATTAGGAGCCGCAAAAACAGTTTTAAACAAAGCGTAGAGGAAGAGATCATCAATCAATTACGAACCTAAACTTGTTTTGTTTTGACTTCTTCTAAATAGTACATGTATGTTCTACGTATATCATGGTCGGAACAACAAATTTGTATTTCATATAGGAAATTTTAGGTCTTCTATGTTCAAACTAAAAAAAAGTAGGTCTTCTCTATATGATTCTGGCACATCACATCTGATCTCAAACGTACGAGCTTTAACCTAACCTACATATAGCAAGACATATACCTAACTGAAACAAGGAATCAACATTAATGATAATGATGTGTGTGTAGACTATTACTCCATCCGTTTCAAAAATAAAAATCAAAACAATATAAAAAATATAAACACATAACGTGTTATATGTTACAAGGCTTATGCACACATGAATGCATTATGCATAATGCATGTATAGACAGATGTATAAAATAAGGTACGTGTGGGAATTTAGGTTAAGAGGGAATAAACAAACAGAAATACTGTTTAATTTAACCCACATAATAGCTGTTGAACCTTGTCCCTACTTCCTTTCCTCTTCCATTCCTTTTCCTAATCTATCTTTTTCTTCATTTCTTTTTCCCAACACCCCTTGTGCCGTTTTATCGATCAGTTTATCATAATACTATTCTCAGACAACATTAACCACATAAACATAATTATTAACATTTACGCTCCATTTCACTTTATATTAAGATTCCCCTAATCATTACTTATTAGAGTATTTATCCATCTATCTGACATGCACATCTGCAATCAAATTTAAAATTTCGGTATGAAAGTACTTACTCCTTACGTTTTATATTAGGCGTTATTGTAGATAAAAATTTTTGTTACAAAATAAGTGTCGTTTTCGAATTTAAATACAACATTTATTAATTTTAAATTTGAATTGATATTTTAATGGTTAAAATATGATTATGTGTATAGGTAATTGTGTTTTTATGTAGAAAATATGTAAAATTAATTATTTTCTTAATTTGTGTATATAAAACTAAAATAATACTTAATATAAAACAGAAGAAGTATCATTTAGCTTAATATATGAGAGAAAATCGTGTTGTAGAACAGAAGTCGAACAAAATATTTAAGACACATGTTTATACATTATAGGAGCCTGTTATTTTTTTATGTAATGACAACCTCATTTTTCTAGATAATTTATATGCATGCACTTATCATGAAGACGTGAAAACATATACCTATGATAAAGATCAGTTGAAAATGAAAAGGTAGCTAGTCTCACAAGTTGCTTGTATGATCACCATACTCTTTTTATCTTCTAAAACAATGCATAAGTATCTATGGTTTCGAATAATGTATATCCATATAAAAATGTCTCAATCGGACAAACTTCAAAATGAAATTCAGGAAACTCAGCAACGTAGTTTTCAAGAAGTCACAATATGTCCCCCTCCTCTCGCGTCACCAATCCTAGCGAGCTAGCTGCATAAAATATATGACATATATGTAATATACGTGACCATTCATCTGGGGCTTCTGTCGGATTTTACTTTGGACGTCATTATTGCTAATGTGGAATAATATAAGGAAAAATTGTTATTTAAATCACAAATTTTTAATTTGGTTGAAAAAAAACATGAATTTTCTTTTGGACTATTTAAAACACTAACTTAATTTAAATAACAATTTTAAACTTTAACTCGGATAACGGATTGATTAGACGGAATTAATCACCATCTCTAATTTCCGTTAAGTCCAAACGACGTCGTTTTAAAGATTTTAGAAATATTACATGCAAATGGAATCGAACCAGTGACCAAAGGAAAACTCGTTCCAAAACAAAACCACTAGACCACTTAAATTTTTCTTAATTTGAATGAATACTAATAGATATTATTATAAAACCTCCAAATCATTTTCTCCCACCCTAAATCCCTAAATGATTTTATAAATATTAAAACTTATAAATAACTTCATAATAAAAAATCGTGAATATTAGTAAAAATATTAAAACTTATAATAATTATTAAGTTATTTATAAGTAGTATTAAAAATATTAAATAACAAAAAAATTAATATATTAATATTCATTCAAGTTAATAAAATTGCAAGTGGTCTAATGGTTCTGTCTTGGAAAGAGTTTTCATTTGGTCACTGGTTCAATTCCCTTCGGACGCAATATTTTTAAAAATTTTAAAACGACGTCGTTTGGACTTAAAAGATATTAGAGACGGCGATTAACTCTGTCTAATCAATCTGTTACCCGAATTAACGTCGTGTTTAATTTAGTTTAGTCAAATTAAATTGAGGTTTAAAATAGCTATTCAAGTTTTTTTTTGTTCAACTAATAGCTATTCAAACTAAGTTGATGTTTTAAATGGTCCAAGGAAAAAATCATATTTTTTTCAACCAAATTTGAAAGTTCGTGATTTAAATGACAATTTTCCCTATAATATAACCATATAGAAACATTAAAACAAGGATAGATTCTACTCTAAAGAGTTTTATTGAAGGATGAAATAGATTATCAAAGTTTTATTTAGTACAAGAAAGTAAAGAGATAGGAAAGCTTTAGGCTTGTCTTCAAAAGACAAACGTTTTGATTAAAGGCACCTTAAGTTCCAGAGATAGAAAGCTAGAGTTCAAATATATATGGAATCACTTGAAAATAAATCAAACTTATGGGCCATTGGGTTTGAATAAACTATTGGGCTTAAACTCTCTAATAAATACAAGGACAAAAATTATTTTTTTTTCAAAAAAAAAACCAGTATTAAAAAGGTAAACCAACAAAAAGTAAAAATATGTTTAAAAAGTAAGTTGATATATATACTAACTCATTGAAAAAATTATAAATAGATTAACAAAAGAGAAAAATTATATCACATCTTTCAAAATAAATATATATTAAGGAAAACTAAATTAATAAAATCAAAATCAAAAATAAATAACTTAATATGGTATTCTTCAAAAAGGCAACGTAAAATTTTATTGAATGAAATATAAATAAATTGTCTTATAGAATATAAAAATTCAAAACAGTTATATTTATGAATATAAAATCAATAAAATAAACTAACAAACAAAACAATATATAATTTTAATTTTAGTAATTATGCTAAGTCGTGGGAAAATACATCAAAAGATATCAATTATAAAATATGTACTAGAGTATGTCAAATTAAACATGAAAAACAAATTATATTGATACAAAGTAGATAAATATAAAACAGAAAAATAATAAAACTCTTAAAAGAAAATGAATCTGAAATTTATCTTTCTGTTTTTTTTTTTTTTAAACACTGATGCTGACTATAAATCATCTAAACTAATAATATGCTACACAAGTTTTTAAAAATCAGTTACCATATCTACTTTATTAAAATATAAGTACATTTATAGAATATCTCTTAAACTTCCACAATATTTATAATTCAATTCCACTGAAAATTTAACTAACTTAACATAAAAATGTCTATTTTTCCATGTAATAATTTTTTTCTAAAACAATTCAAACAAACTACAATGAAAGAAACAAATAATGAAATGGCTATGCTTTTTCTCCAGGTAGATAAAACCAATTAAAATTAAACATTATACTCATAAATCAATTAAGTTGACATGTAAAATCGGCCAAGACAATTATCTTCCTAATGTGATTCATAAATCAATTAAGTTCTCTATTTTGAAAACTATGGATACATGTATACAAATCGAATATTCTATGGAATAATTTACCTACAATTTTTTTCTGTAAAAATGTTATAATTAATGTATCAATTTTTAATACCATACTAATTAATATGTGTCTATTTTTCTACTGTTTAATTCATTTAGTACATAAATCTTTTTTGTAAATTTTAGATTTGTTTATATGATATCCAATAAATATTGGTCATATAATTTGCTGT